AACGCTGAGCTGTAGATCTTTGCCTTTAGTCTATTCTAGTTTTGTTGTTGTTGTTGCTCTTAATGCTTTTTGTTTAACTGTGTCTCTTATGAAATAAATTTATATTTTTCGTAGAGTCGAAAAAAAATCCATGAAATTTTCGAAAATGTTTTCGCTTCGATTACGATATTGATATTTCGAGAAGAGCGTCTTCAATAGTAATTCAATCTAAAGATTAGGTTGATGTACAAGAAGAAGTGTTTGATTTGTTAAAATGCTCTGATAACAATGTTATTCTTTAATTAGACAGAGTCTTCCACTAAATAGAAGTTACGGAATCTAAAAAATTTTTTCGGCGCGGATCCACCTTTGAATTTTCATCATTTCATTCACATTCTCATGCACATCCTCTTCCACTCTCTTTGATAAATGTAGGCAAATCGAGCGTAAAACGAATAGATGAAATACTTAGTGAATATTTTTCAAACAATCTTTCGTTAGAGGAATCGTACTTGAATTTCTTTCATTCAAAGAAAAGTATTTAACTTTGATAGGTACTTTATTTGCTATCTAGTAGAATGATTATCTATAGATTTTGGATATCCTCTAATGCTACGTATTATCAAGTAGATTTTTTGTTCGTATCTATTTCCGAACAGCTGCCGTCTTCAACAAGGTTAATTGCGATCCGATTTGTAACCATTTCGAATTGTTGTTGAATTGTAACTTTAGAGAAACAAATATTTTTTTTCTAATTCTTCGATCATTCTACTCTGTGGATGGAAACAGGCGTCAGCTTTCAAGGTACTCACACACTGATGCACACAAGTGTACTCTAATTAGTTTGTATTAGAACTACATGAGCTTTATAGCTTCCATTGTTCGAAGCGCCTTGAAAAAGTTGAGTTCATTAGAAAAAAGAATACATTTCAGGATTATTATTTTTGATTGATAAGACTGTGTCAGTCTATGAATTCCCACGTCTCGTTAAACGAATTCGTGAGATTAAAGAGCCAATAGGATGATTCGTACAATTGATTTTATGTTGCCGACGTGGTTTAGATTTATATGTCACATAATTGGCCAGACAATCCCAACAGAATTCATGATGACATTTCTTACAGGTCATATGAAAGCAACCGCCATTCTTCTCAATTTTACATTTGCATTCGGGACATTTTTTCGAATTTTTTTTCATCCATTTATTTGTCATAGGATCAATGCATGGATGCAGTTGATCATATTGATCACAGGTCATATCTTCATGCCACTTAACACGATGAAATACACATGTATCTTTTGCACATATGATGCAAGTAATTTTTAAGTCTTGAGTCGATTTTCTTTCAACGATTTGACCAGAACCACATCCATGCGCACACCAATAATAATCATCTAAATTATCGAGAAATTGTCTGTCTAGATAGCTATGGTATTTTTCCAGTAATACATGATCCTTATTAATAGCAAGCACTTGAGAAATTTCATCTGAATTAAAATTTATCAAACATTTCGATTCAGGACATAAAACTTGACCACTGATGATGTCATCGAGAATAACTTTGATGCTTTTATAAGTGCATAGATTACAAACTTGACGAAATTTATGTTGACATCTTTTACTGTAAGCAGAAGAAAAATCTTGTTCAGATTTTATTAACAAACACACATCACATTCACGTGTCAGTATTTGAGTTGTTCTAAAATTTAGAATAATTTACTGTGCTATAATTTTACAATTGATCGATCTGGTTTGTAAAGTTCAACATCGAATTATCGATAGACGAAGAACTTGATTTGAAGATGCTGTTGCCGAACTTGAAAAAGAGTCTAATCGCATTGATTATTTCCGAATACGAATATAACTAGTTGTGATTTACTCATGTTTACCGAAACTCAGTGTAATTTTCTATAAGTTTTGAACTTGAAAATAGATGTAGTTTTTATTGAAAAGAATGATTTCTCCTGCAAAATGATCAGAAGAAGGTAGTGACTACTTTCCTCGTTTATTATTAATCACAGTTCAACACTGAAATTCTTTCGATGTAATTGATTCTTTCTTCGTCTTTTCAAGAAAAGATAAAGACAAGTCACTTAAGGGGACCCCCCTTTCCGGCGTTTCTAAGAAACGACCTAACGAAAATTCCTGAAACTTTCAGGGTAGATAGACCTCGAGTAGTAGAGCAAAAGTTGTCATAGACACAAATTTGCCAGACGTCGTCTTCGTGAACTTCCAGAGACCCCAAGGTCAAAAATTTGCAAAACGTTTTGCCCCCCCGCAACTCCACAGATTTCATCCGTTTGAGCTGAAATTTTTACTGTGGGTAGATGGACCCAATCGTGGTGGACGTTTTTTTCTTTTTTCAAAAATTCCAAATACTTCAGGCTGGAGAACCAAAATACTGAGCACTTCGCAAAATCTCTAGGTTTTTTGGGTCCTAAAAATTTTGCGAAGCCTGCCAAACTTGATTGGTAGAAGGTATCCAAAAAAAAAAAAAACGTCCAACCCAAATCACTTGAAGTCTCACCAAAAAAATTTTCAGCCCGATCGGACTTGAAATGGCGGAGAAAAGGGGGGCAAAACTGTTTTTTGATACCCAAAAAACTGGTTTCGAGAAAAATGCAACGAAATTTGTGATTTTTGGTTTTTTCAGCATATTTTGTGGTTTTTTTCGAGTTTTTGTATATATAAGATGTGGGTTTTCAGTTCTCAAAGTGTGCTCAACGGATAGAGGGCATTGAAATCTATATACTGATCACAAAAAATGAAAAACGAAAAATGTGAAAATTTTGAGTCGGGAAAGGGGGGGGTCCCCTTAACCTAGCTTACCTTTCATTAGAGGTAGAAGTATTTTTTGACGCCAATCTGGCTGCATGTTTTGTAATTCGATCGGATTTCATCTTTTTCTATAGAACATTAATTTACTTATGAAGAAAAAACAATGTCGATGGGGCTTACAAGCTGATGAAAATTGTAATTCTGATGAAGAAGTCTTGTGCCATTCATTTGTTGATTTTTGCGAGGTTTATCTTGATATATTTGACGAATATACTTATGATATTCATTGTCTATCATAAAAAAAAATACTAAATTCAACATTTTCTTTATCCAAAAGCTAATTATTTTTCATGGTCTACTAGACCGCCAGTGATATATTCTAATTATTAAACAAAATTCAAATCTCATGGATAAAATTAATAGATAATAATCTTCGGCAACCCAAAGATATAATAGAATAGATGTTTAATCAGAATGCTTAACACCATGGAAAACGAGTCGATTGATTGAGACTTCTCCAAGTCTCATAGCATTTAGTAGTTTTCTCATTTGAACTCCAATCGAACAATAGTCTATCTATGACGATATGCTTCGGCTGTCTCTCAATATCCAAAATCTACCGATCTCTCTCTTAACTACAAAGAAATGCAACTTGTTTATGGATTCTACCGATCAATTTGTAAAGAATTTACTATGCTTCATGTTATATCGATTTCTTTATTCATTTTGGAAAAACTAATTGTTCAAACTACCAAATCATGTTTTTCAGGAGAAAAGAATAATCTTTTAGTCATCTTATGCATGATGAGGATAAAAAAATAGCTCATTACCATCAGAATGATCATCAGTTTTATCATGATCCAAATAAATTTCATCTTCGTTTTGTGTCGTATTCATCTTAGTTACTGAAGCATTTTTAGATCTGGTGTCGTATACTCGATTTCGATGTAAATCTACATAATTTTCGATGAATATAGAAAAAAGAAGTAAAGAAATACTTACAAAAACCTTGAGATTTTAGAATCCATTGATTTATCAATTCTTCTCTATTTTTATAATAGATATCGAAGTATATACCAACTTTATTAGATTGATTTATTCGTGACGCCATTGGTTTAGTTTGTATGTTTGTCATTGATGATGAAATTCTTTCTACATTCATGTTGTCTATTGATATGCAATATTAAAAGAAAGCAATTTTTCATACATGAAAAACTCAGAACATGACTTAAAGCTTTTTAAATTCTCTTTTTATAACGTCATTTCACTTTGTTTGTTATGAGTAATTGTGCTCGTATCTTCTGTGGACACAGATTCAGTGAAAAAGATTGGCTCTTTTTCTTTTTGCAGAGAGAATGTAGAAAGAAAAAAGATATTCTTAGTGACATTGCCGTACTTAAAGACGCAATATAAAAAGGAAACTAAGCAGATAAGATTTTTTGAAAAATGAGTGTAAATACTTAGAAGTAGTATTTTCGGAGCATTAAATGTATGTGAAAAAAAAAACCGATTATGAAAAGATGTGGGTGGGTGTAAATGTGAGGAGATGACCCAATGCTACCACCAACTCTCGTTACTCTCACTGACACTCACATATCTATACACAAGCACTCAATACAGATCAACGGTGACGCCTCAAATGTGTTAAACTTAGGTGACGTCAATCACAATAAAGGCGCGGCTACGAAGAAAATAGTCCAAGTACCATTCGGACCATAGTGAGATGTTTCTGCAAATTTTTAGAATCTTTAAGAGACCTATTCATGGTAATATTTCGACAGAGATCTAAATCAGGTTCTGTATCAAAGTCATGTGTAGCTATCACTGATTTGATGAAATCAGTGGTACCCACTATGTGGTGCACAAGCAGACGCATACTTTTCCTACAAGTCGTCACATCCATGTGGTCTAAATGAGTGTTAAAATGATATAGTGTCTGACGAATCCAGCGATCTCGGCGTGTTAACCAACTATACACTTGTGTCTTAGTTAAATTCCAATCTATAATGTCAGGAATAGCCGGTGTTGCCAAAAGGATGTGGGTGTGTGTATTTTCTGTTCTCACACACATCCTGATAACAAAATTATTTGTTCTTTGATTGATCTTGATGATGTAAGAAGAAATTATTATTGCATTTATTAATTCATAAACAAACAATGCAAAAAAAGAAAGTTACATTTTATTAAGATTGATTTTCGATAGTTATGAACACGAACTTAGATCAATACTGAATTCTTGGACTCAATGATTGTAATAGTCGACGACATAGAGATTGTTTTGCCGATCAAATGATAAACTCCAAGGAAAATAGAGCTGATTTGCTCCTGCTCCCGATCCATTTTCACCAGCAACAACACTAATTTGTGTAGCTTCTATCGACCAATGCATTACTTGATGATTGCCATAATCTGCTACATAGACAGCACCTAAATGATCGACAACTACTGCAATAGGAGTGCTCAGTTGTGTTAGACTATTTCCTGGACATTGACCACCAACAACAACGATGACTTCTTTTGCACCTTCTATTTACTTCATCATACGATGATTGTTTCCATCAGATACATATATACTGAATATTTCTTATCGACAAAGATGTTGTAGGAGCCATTCAGCTGATCGAGACAATTACCTTGTCCATTACCACCTGCTATTACTGTTCCATGAGTATCTCCCACTTTCCATCTTCTCACTTCATATTTATTGTAGCCAGAAACATAGAGATATCCATTATTATCTATTGTCAATCCATAGCAGTTAACACCTGAAATGATTGTTTGTCCACTTGTATTATTTCGACGAGCCCATTGCATGATTCATTGGTTCCCCACATCGCTAATTTGAAACACTTGTTGCATCATTGTTTCATTCTACAATACGATCATTTGAATACTCAGCAATATAAACAGTCTGATCATCATCAATATATAAACTGCATGGATAACTGAATTGATTGACTCCGTTGCCTGTCCATTGTCTCCAGCTACTGTGATATCATTCTGTATCCACTTTACATTGGTTATGATCGAAACGTTAAAGATTTTCCTTTGTGACAAAAAAGTAAATTTTTATCCTTCAGTATTCACCATATAGCCTCAGTGAATGAAATCAGTCGATTGTACCTGTTAGCTACTTTTTCTTCAGTGAACTGTGATTCATTTGTGAACATTTTTGAGTACCAAAATACAATTCCAATTCTGTTTTTTTGAAACTTTCCTATCCTACCATTCTAACCTGAGATTTACAGGTATCAAACATTTTATTTTTTGGTTTTTAAGATGTTGGACATAATACTTTCATTTTTCTTAAAATATATCTTTTGTGAAGCGCCTAAAAGTAGTTCATAATATCATTAAGGAAACAAATATTTGGCTTTTTTCAACATTTTAGTTCGACGAGGTACATGTACTTATTTTGAAATTGACATAAAGTCAAAGTCAACGGAAAACAGAAGTATACAAAGTTTCAATTTTTACCAACTCCAATCAAAATTTATCAAGTTAGTTTGGTTGTTCTCTGAGCGAAATAAAAATATTTATAGAATAAAATTACGAGGGAACATTCCCAACTGTCACATTGCTTTTGAGTCCAGCGTATGCGCATCCTGTAGATCCTAATGATCTATGAATACTCTGAAAAAAGTTTGTGTCGCTAGCTTATTACTGCCTAGATATTACATTTTTACTGTATGTTTAAGACAAAAGAGCCGTGGCTCCTCTCAGAAACATTAGAAAAATTAAGTTTCGAATTTCGATTTGAAACTTTGCGTAGAGATAGGCCTTAGTGAGAATAGTTTATTGTGAACGTTTCAGATCTTTTCGTTGTTCCTATCCTAAGATACAACTATGGCAAAAAGCTTATACACACCAGCAGATTCTGATGTTCTTATTTTAGACTAGAAGCAATCAAAAGATCTGAAACTTTCACAATAAACTATTCTCATTGAGATCTGTCCCTGTACAAAGTTTCAAGCTGAAATTCGAAACTTACGAGGGAACCTTTTCAACTGTCCAATCGCTTTTGAGTTCGAACTCAGGGTGAAAGATAGACCCCAGTGAGGTATGAAAAGCCCCAAAAGGATAAATGCCCATAGGCCTTCTGTCCAGAGTTATAGGCATTTTACTGGATTTTTAGCCTATGGCACAGTATATACCAAAAAATCGAATGACAATATTTCGAGCTGAGATTTTGTCCAAAGATAGGTCTATGTACCAATAGAATGCTCTGAAAATTTCAGCTCAAAAGAATGTTTCAATCTCTGGATATTAAACTCCCAAAAACCGCGCATATCCCGCGAATGATGCTAGAATTTTTTGGCTTTTGGGTGTTCAATATCTCGAGATTGAAACATTCTTTTGAGCTGAAATTTTCAGGGCATTCTATTGGTACATAGACCTATCTTTGGACAAAATCTCAGCTCGAAATATTGTCATTCGATTTTTTGGTATATACTGTGCCATAGGCTAAAAATCCAGTAAAATGCCTATAACTCTGGACAGAAGGCCTATGGGCACTTATCCTTTTGGGGCTTTTCATATCTCACTGGGGTCTATCTTTCACCCTGAGTTCGAACTCAACAGCGATTGGACAGTTGAAAAGGTTCCCTCGTTAGTTTTCCTAGTGTTCCTGAGGGGGACCACGGCTTTTTGCTTATACATACAGTAAAAATGCAATATTTCGGCAGCAATAAGCTAGCGGCATGAACTTTTTTCAGAGTATTCATAGATCATAGGACCTACATGATGCGCATACACTCGACTCAAAAGGGATGTGACAGTTGGGAATGTTCCCTTGTAAGTGCAGAAAAACAATGAGATTATCGATATAATTATTATTGCATTTAATATACATACAAAAATCTTCTAAAACACCATCTTAGCAATATATCTATTCACAGATTATATCCTACTTTACAATAATAAAAAAATAAATTTTCGTTTTTATTAAAATTTTTCTCATAATGAATCACCTTAACAGCAATATCATTCAAATGTTAAACGAGTTCATTGTTATGTAATAATATTTAAGTCAAAAATATTCATTTAATTATATGAAATGTAACTTAAAGACGAAAATATTTCAATCAAATTAGATACAAATATCTTTTGGATAGGAGAAAGACTGCGAATGACATTCATTGAGATCAATCTATATTATTTTTCATTGAAATTCATTTATATAGAGAAACAAAAGTATAATAACATAGATAATTATTTTTTTTTGTTAATCTCTGTTTTGGTTGGTATGGAACGTACTTGTAATCATTAGCTTTTTTTCACACAATATAAATATGTCATTATTTTTAATCTATTTTATTTTATTTCGAAATAAAATTCAATATATTTTACAAAGATTTTTACATGAAAAACCAATGAATTCTAATTTATCAACAAAAATACATATACAATAAATTTACATAGAGAAGTAAGGATGTCAATGTAGGTTGTCTCTTTATCTATAGACACATTCCGCCTTCACGTTCATAAACTAAAACCAAATTGATAATATATCCCGTTTTATGTTTACTTGATATTCAATTCCGTTTAATACTTCTTTTAATAATGCCAATATTTCTTCAACTTCATATTTAAATGTATCTGATTTAATACTAATAAATCGCAATGATTTCATTTCATGTAATAGTAATCGTAACACTGGAAAAGGATATGTGTCGTTTACTTCAATATGTAATACCTTAAGAAGCCGATTATTATCAAATATATGAATAAATTTTTCGACATTTTGAATATTTATTTTAGGATTCATTATTTGAGTTATAGCGAGATATTGGATATTTTTGAATAGTTCTATATTTTCAACCATAAACTCGACAAGATCATGTTTGAGTAAACCTGAAAGATAGTTGAGGATTTTATTATTGGTACTTTACATAGAGAAGTTAAATTTGATACCTCACCTTGCCAATAGTCAATGTTCAATTTTGTTAAATTCGTCGTTTTACTAAGTAATTGGATCAAATAATTTTCTGGCAGTAAGTTGAACATAGTCAATGTTTTTAGTTTTGATAATGGCAAAATTTTGTTCAAAAATATCCAAATTGAATGATATTCGGCTGGACTCAGACGGTTACGAGTAATCGTACAATTACCGTCACTGTCGCTGTCATAGTCATCGTTTGGAAATAATAATGATAAATGACAGACATTCGGAAATACAAACGATGATAAAGCTCTATTAAACCCTTGAAAATTAGTATAAAAATCCAGCGTTAATGTTTCTACATGATTGTATCTATCGAATGCTCCAGGAAACCAAGATAATAACTTTTGATGTGAATATAACGTTAGTTCTCTTACGATGTATGGTGTTGTATAAAGTATGCCATCATCAAAATCAACAAACCTAAATAATCATCAAATTTGTAATTAAAAAGTTAAAATATCATGTTCCGTGCTTCACCGTCAGGAAATACCGATTTTTCGTAGTTTTTTTTCTAAGCTACAAACATTCTTTCCATATATATATTCATTGATCTTCATTGAGAATTTCGCGAAGATCATGTACAATGAAATAGAAGGCTTTTCGTAAATATCAATACGTTAGCGAGTTTATTATTAAATAACAAAACTACGATAGACATTGCTTATAGTATTTTGAGTGGGTTTAATAAAACTTCAGCATTTTTTCCATCAGGCTGAAAACTCGGAGAAATTCTATCTATCAGAGAAAAAGATCGCTTGAAGTTTTCTTCATTTTTTATGAATTATGGGTAATTTTTATTGAATTCTTTAGTTTTCCTTAACAGCTACGATCATAGAAATGTCAGAAAATGATCGATTTACGTTAAAAATAGTATGACATTTTTAAAGCCTGTAGTATTGTTCTTTTATCTCAATCATTGCAAAAAGAAATAATATTTGAATTAGTGTTTATGATCAGGATTCCTCGACATTCTAGTTTCCTCTACGATTGTAATTTTTTCGATTAGTTATCCGTCTTTTCCTTGTATCTTTAGCTCTTGATCCTTCTTCTTCTTCTGTTTGTGCTTGTGATCATTTGCTGTACTGCGTTCTACCTACTCATTTATTCTCTGATACAACATAAGCCTCGATATTTGATGTACTCTCTTTCTTTTTGATATGATATCTTCCTCATATCATCTTTTCTCTCTCGAGCTCTGAACAATGCGTATCTAATATGTTCGTATTTGTCTGTAATGATGGAATTTTTAGCTGGTATATTCGTGAGTGTTTAGAATAAAAAATTTCGAAGGATAAAGTACCTAATAGATGCTTACCATTTATGTTGAATCCAAAAATCTGTTTTAAATGAATCTATTAATTGATTATTCAATCTCGTCTTCCATGGTGCAATACGAAATTTCAGTTCATATAAATTCGGTAAATATGTTGAAATGAGTTGTTCCCATTGAAAGCCATTTAAAAAATCGCTATCATCGCTCATAGTTCTATATCCCATCATTTCCACCGATAATTTAGTTAAGCGTGTGAATTTCTGTATTATAATCTTAAAATTACTAAATGAAATGTCACAGTCCAAACAAATAGATAATTCATCGATGTTTGTATTCATTTCTAACATTGAAAGATCAACATACGCTGTGATTTCTGGATGATATCTATTTTCATGCAAAAGAATTGATAATTTCTTAAAATTATTGGAAAGTGAAGAAGAATACAATTGAACATATTGTTCAAAATCAATATTGGTATTAATATTCAAATACTTTAAATTAGGACATAAATGACCGATGCTTGACCAATTATATCGAATACTATAAAAACAATTGAAGGTTAGTGAACATAATGATGAAGAGATAATATCATTCAATAACATATTCGGATAAAATCCGTTATCACAGACAATAAATAAATATGATAGATGATTCAATGTTGGTATTTTTAAGATCAGATCATTTAGTTCATCTTGTGTGACTTGAATGATTGACAACGATCGTAAGTTATGAAAGTTATGAAATGGCAACATGCGAAAGAATAAAGAAATTTGTTTTATTGTTTCAATGTTAGATAATTTCAATGATAAAACTTGATCTTGATGATTAGTTAATAGAGAAGAACATATTAGAAAGTACGAGTATGGTATATTAGATAAGTTCCACGAATATAACTGTTGGATTAAATTGTTAAAACGCGTGTTTAAATTGTACCAGATCGAAAGTAGATCATGCGAATTTGGTAACTGTAAGATTTTTAATAATACCTCGTTTGGAAGAGATTCAAGCGTTGAAACAGTCGTATCATTCATCTGAAATTTTCATAAGAATTGCTAACACATTGTATTCATTTTTATTTTAAAAAAGAGTAAGTGAATTTGTGAGAGAAATGTTAATCAATGTGAAGATACCATGAAAATCAATCGCGACCAACTATTAGGTCGATCAATTCAAACGAAAACTATGAGTCATCTGATCGATTCACAGAATACTATGACTTTTTCCTAAATGTTTCTTCGACCAAAAAACCTCACATTTCTCAAAACAGACATACAGAAAGCTTTTCCAATCGTTACTCTCAGTATAAATGTTCGGTACACCACTTCATCACGTCAGTTGTGTCTACTCAAGCTTATATACACGAGAGAAGCACCGAAGAAGGAGAAAGAACAATGAGAAGAAAGGAAAGAATGAATAGAAAACATAGTAAGCAGGCATCCTACTATCGGTCATAAGGTCAGAGTATCTAGTCACATAGTGTCTGAATGCTCTCACATCATTGAACTGATAGAAGATGAAGATAGGTCGTGACCTTTCTATTGGCACATTCAGATTAGAGTCTTTTCTGGCCGTCTGTACAATACAGAAAGAAAGCGAAATGATACAAGAAAAAATGACACGAATTAGAACAAAAATAATGGTAAAAAATTGTCACAAAAATAATTAATTTGGATAAAACTAGAGTGGTTTAAAATATAACATTTTAATGTCTAACATAAAATTCATTGTTTCTAATAGTTTTTCATCATTATCTTTATTACTTTTCGCGTCATTTCAATAGAATTTCACCGTTTCAACATTCATCTAGCCATCTCTTGGACTATTTGAACTTTTTTATGTAAATAATTATACCTTAATCTAGAGTATACTCTCGGAAAACTCAACTAAAAATTTTTGAATTTTCCTTAGACGTAAAAATAACGAGTGTTGTGCAGAATGATACATACTATTCTCAATATTTTCTTGTTCTTCAACATTTATCCTTCTGATAATAGGATGAAAATCCTGTTCAATCATCTATTAGAGTCATTTTTATTATTTTCTATGGCTTGTAAACATTAAATGAAATTCAATGTACAATATAAAAAATTAGTTTTTTGACTATTTTCATAATATGTTTTGATTGTCTAATTCCATCATGACTTGATCAAAAGCGTGTTGTCATTGATAATTTGAATCAATTTTTTATCAGTGAAATTTTTGTCAATGAACTACTTTAAACTATTTATGTTCTCTATCCTTTGGTGAGATAATCATAGAGAAGATAATACTCAAAATGCGTCATGAAAAGATTATTTTACATTATATATTTGATTTCATCGAAATTCTCATGTATACTAAACTTGACATCTTTTGATGATTAAACGAAATAACAGGGCCACTTTCAGAATTAAAAAATCAGAATACGTCAAAAACTCTGGAAAATACTCTCATATCATAAAGAATAGTATATTCTGATCTAAATAAACGATGCGCGTACTTGTTTCCATTTAATTCAAACAGCATTGTCAGTTAGATCTTATAGTCATATCGCACGTACAACGCATGAATATATATTCTCATGTACGTTGAAATGTCATTTGTTGACTGCAATTGTCGCTTAAAAAAAAGGAGCAACATCTTGTGTAATATTTCATCAGTGAATGGATGATAAGCTATAAACTAAAGTTTCTAACTGCTCAACTAATTTTTTGCCTTCTTCTCTTTGTAGAAGAGATACATATATTTCACTTCTATCAACCATCGATATAAGTTACTAGTCAAGAAGTGGAAATTGATTAAAATAGACCTAAAATATATCTCATCCTTGAAAACAAATTATGCAATAGATTTCTTTGTTTTGAAGTGGACTCCTATAATTTACGGTAGATATCTAAGTATGCGTTAATTATTACTGGTCAGCATAAAATCTAACTAAAAGATTGAAAAATCTTGAAGACTTATTCATTTAACTCAGAGAAATATGAGACAAAAGACTGACTGCATTAGCAAACTAGATGGTATTCGAGTTTTGACTCGAATACGAAATGTGATGCGAAGCACCAATCGAGAGAATCAAGAAAACGAGTTTCGAATCGAATACGAATAATCGCTCTTGTCTTGTACAGTTTAACTTCTACGACAATTGAAAATGTGTCTAAGTCATTTTTGAATCGACAAAGGAATATTTTTATCAATCAAATGATCTAATTTAGATGCAACATAAAAAGCAGCCATTCTAAAATTCATTACGACAGGAACTCCCTCAAACTGTATTGACAGATTTTTCGAACTCGCTATTTATTGATCGATTAATTATCTCAATAATTCATTATCTACCATCAGCTGCTATATATAAGATCGATTGTTCAAACAAAGTGACGCCTAACTTCTCTTGCTATTCTCATTTTCATTATCTCGAATGTTGAAAAAAAAAGCTTGTTAGGGCAGCTCCTTTGGAGCTGAAATGTGGAACTCACATATATCCTTAAACCTTAATATTTTAGTACATCATATGTAAACTGAAAAATTTGGGTGTGGGTGTGGGTGTCGGTCTTCTCGTCACTCACACCCATACCCTCCACTTATGTTAGCCCAGTAAATAGATGATATACAATTTTCTAAATAGCTCATTTTTTTCAGTTTTTCATGCTCTATCTTTTGATATATGGTATGAAAAAATTTCTTGACTTGTTAAAGTATAATCTCAGTAAATATCTCTGAAAAAATTTTGATTATATTTTTGACAATCGGCTGGTAGCGCTAAAAAGTCGATCCAGGCTAACTTTACTATAGTACATCCAAATGAGCTAAAAATTTGGGTTTGGTGGTTTTAGGTGACGGTCTTTCGAATGCACATAAAAAATCGAAAAATTAAATTTTGACCAGTGCCTCATATACTGGAGCGATCCTCGGTCCTCTCATGGATGCTCTCTTAAATATTTAGCACTTTTTTTATTAAAATTTTCTGACTGGTATTTTGTTCTTGTACAACGTTATTTTTTAACGGAGACAAAAGTTTAGCGTCCTAATTCTAGTATTTATGCGTGATAGACTAACAAAAGAATGTTAAAGACAATAAAAACAGATTCAAATCTTATGAGACATAGTGTGTTAACTTAAACAAACGATAATTTAGCTAAGAGTTTAAAACGATATGAATAAAACGAAGTTGCGTAAATGGAATGCCTTTATTGACAATTTTATCGTACCTAGAAAGAAATCTCGTGGACAAAATAGTCACACAAACATGATCTCAAATCAGTTATTCTGACTATCTTCATTATTAGCTGCTTCTTCTATCAATATAAAAAATTTTGACGGAAAATCAGATTAAAATCGATTATTTGATTCAAAATCGAATATTCATCGATTCAATTTGAACAATCGATTAAAATAGATTAAAAATAATTAAAATCAAATGAAATCTATCGTTAAGGTTGAGAAATCATATTAAAATCAAATAAAAATAATGCCATTATAATCGATTAAAATTCGATTTTTGATCAAATAATCGATTTTAATCTGATTTTTCGTCAAAATTTTTTTACATGGGTGTTGCATGGAAAGACTTGGATGCCTTGTTTCTATTCGATTATAGTTCAGTTCATGTACGTGCAGCTCATCCTACAAATTCATCTTCAAATAGGGGAGTTTCTTCAATAATATCTTCAGAAAAATCATGTTCAGCTGATGTGCGTTGAACAAACCAAAATCCACTTTTACAGCCTCTTTTACCAGTTTATTCAAGAGATAACACTAATAGAACATCTCAGTTCGAATCTTACCCGAATCCGCCTCGATTGGAAGACTCAGCAGGACAAGATTCAGCATTTTGTTACTACATTCGTCATTTTCCACGCTTAATACAAAACAGTAGAATAATCTTCATATGGATGGAAAATTTTTTCAAACAAACTTTGAAATTACCAATTTGTTATTTGTTGATTTATTCATAAAAAATTGAAAGAATGTATATGTGAAGAGAATTTTACAAAGCAAAGGATGGTGTCGATCTCAGAAGCTTTTATGAAAATTTGTATTATTTTTGACAGATTTGAAAAAAGTGCTAGGAAGCTCAGCTCTTCTAGTAGCGAAGTTTGGATTTCGCCACTGTATTTAATGAAAGTATAGTTCGTCATTGTTAACGACTGTTTACGGACACATACGATAAAAAACGATGAGCGTAGATCACACCGTTTACAGCTGGCGTTTACGATCATTGTTTACGATGAGCGTAATATACCGT